CTCTATCTGTGCTGAAAATTTGAGCTTGATCGGTTGCACCGTCTTCGGGAACCAGAAAGTGTCAAAAAAGAGGGGGGGGGGTACCCTTAAGAGTTGAGGACATTTTTTTTTTTGACAACGGAAGGAAACTGATCACAAAAATAGAGATTATGAACTTTCAGTATGCTTATACTATAGCTAAAAAGAATTATTTTGTTTTTCTTCTAGAATTATTGAATATCTCTTGGAAGGAATATTCGATCTTGATATGAAGCTTTGCTTATAAATAGACTTCATGTTCCTTAGAATGTTCTGAAATTTTTAGCCAAAACCGATGCTTTCTTGACGAGATATTGCATGAGAAGAAAAAAAAACAATGACATTTCAAAAAAAAAACAACTTGTTTTTTCAACGTACCATAGCTCAAGAAGGAAGTATCCGTTTTGACTGAAATTAATTAAATATCTCATTTAGAAGTCAGCTAAAAGTTTTTTGTTTTTCAATTCTATAGTCTATCATACTACCTTAACTTGAAAAACTATTCATTTTTGAATAGAGAGTTTTGTACACAATTATCATAGTATCTCTTGAAAGGAAGATTCGACTTTTAAGAATAAAGATCAAATATTTTTCGACTACATTGATATTTTCTGTCTTAAAAAGATTAATTGCTATTGAACAAAGTCTATGTGAATGTGTCACGGTATATTTTTGTAAGATGGTATCACATATTTTCCTATAGATTAAGCAGCCGACATCAAGACTGAAAGCTTTACTATTGCCTTCTCGGACTTCATCTTTAATAAATAATCAAACTCGAAAATAGCTGATGCGACTGTTACAGGTGATATGAGCGTGCTGGAGGCATGATTTCGACTGAAACTTAACATTTTTCTAAGAGTTTAAAAATATTCATACAGTGAGATATAAAAAGGAAATCAAGCAGAAGAACTGTAATTTGCACTATATAGATCTCATTCTTTATCTTCAATGAATATTGATATTATTTTTGTTTTTTTTTTTTGCTAGCGTATTGTTTTTGTTCCTCGTCCTTGGAAATCTACTGATGGTTCAATAAATTTTGCTGTTTTACAACGTATGATGGAATCATTACTTTTATTTATAATTGATCATCCAGGTACAAGTCTTGAATATTTATATGAACATTATAAATGTGTACTTCAACCAGTTGCTATTAATGATTGTATTGAATTATTTCAACAAATGAATTGTTTAGAAACAGTTCAAGTACCATTAAAAAAGATAATTGAAAAAAAAATAAATCTTTATTCAAATGAAAATTCCGATGATGATGATGAACATGAACATCAAAATGAACAAAATATTCAATATGATATTGATAATGAATTTGAACGTATTTTATTTAAAACTAATTATGATTATCAACAAAAAACACTTTATTGTTTTCCAACTTATGATTGTTTAACAAAATTTGGTGTTGCATTTCCATTATCATTAACTAATCAACAACGAGGCATTGATCGAATGCCATTTCCTAGTTATTAAAAAAGAAACCCTGTGATTTTTTTTCTTTTTTTTTTTTGATCAAGGAAAACAACCAAAAAAAGAAAATTTATATGCTTTTGTTTCATCAATTCGTATGTACGTTCTAGTACTTTCGTAATCTTGGTCTTAATTTGTAATTGTTTATTACACATAATGTGATAATAAATAAATAAGAAAATTAATCAAAACCAAGATAATTCATTATTCGAGGATTTTTAACACGAATAACAGTTGGTGTTATTGGTAGAATTCCTCTTATATGTTGTTTATTATGAAAATTTATTTTATTTGGTATAAGATTTTCAAATACACCGAATTCTTTTTCATATTGTTCAAGTGTTGTTAACATTGATTTAATAATAAATTTATTATATCTATTTAATGCTTGTTTAGCTGATTTCATATATAAGAAAAAAATTCCAATACTAATTAAAACAATTAACTAAAAATATAAATAAAATATTAGAAATAATAACAAAAAAAAAAAAAAAAAATTTTGATTTCTAAATAAAAATAATTTACAAGAAGAACAATGAGAAGAATATGTCCAATAAAAATTGTCTCAATTGCTAAGTCTATAAAATTTTTTGCTTGTGGTAAACATGAATTCTATATTAAAAAACAAGAAGTTGTAAAAATAAGCAAACAAACTAAAGTTTCATACATCTATAAATGAATTTGTTGTGTTTGGACCTGTTGTACAAAGAATTCCTAAATG